TCTGTTCTATACATAGGAGTCTCTTTTTCTGTTTTGCACATAGGGTTATCGTTACCATCTTTCTAAATTCCATATATATGTGTTAGTATACTGTAATGGTCTTTATCTTTCTGGCTTACTTCGCTCTGTATAATGGGCTCCAGTTTCATCCATCTCATTAGAACTGATTCAAATGAATTCTTTTTAATGGCTGAGTAATATTCCATGGTGTATATGTACCACAGCTTCCTCATCCATTCATCTGCTGATGGGCATCTAGGTTGCTTCCATGTCCTGGCTATTATAAACAGTGCTGCGATGAACATTGGGGTACATGTGTCTCTTTCAGATCTGGTTTCCTCGGAGTTTTACACCTTTTTTAAAACTTATCACTATGTTGTGGATATTCCCCTTGTCAGTACATACAGAGGTACCTTGACCTTTTAAATGGCTGCATACTTGTAATGCTTTTAACCATGGTGCTGTTCATGGCATTTATTTAGCTTTAGGTTGTGAATTTTTTTTCTATTGCATATCTCTATGACAGTCATAATAATAGTAGCTGAGATTTATTGAGTATTTACTCTGTACCAGGTAAGTCATAGTATCTCCTTTAATCCTCTTGTGTATGTTTGGGTAGGTGTGTATTTTTTCCCATGTCCTCATGTTTCTGTTCCTGTCCAGAGGGAGAGTAGAACTTTAGATCAAATTCCCTTGCCTCTTAAAGAAGAATTATTACAGGGGAAAAAAGGTCTTAACTCTTCTCAGAAGGAAGAATTGCCAATCTTAGTTAGTATGAGACACACACAGGAGTGTAGGTTTTATACTACCTCTTTTTATATCCTGTGCCCAGGACTGGCAGGCCAATATGATCAGTAACCTTAGACTGGCCTTTTAGAGGTAGATCTGGCCATTCTCCTAGTTTATTATTTCTACAGTTGAGATGAGACCTGGCTGGAAAGGGAACTGTCTGTTCTGGAAACCTAGCTCTCTCTTTTTCAGTAGGCAAGAGATTGGGTCTCTTGATTAGGTCTTTGTTGCATGAGTGTAGGTATTTTGTATCCAAACTATATTTTGTAATTTGAACATTTATACCATCTTTGCAATGGGAATTATTGGAGATTGCCCAACCATTAAAAAAAAAATCAGACTGTCATTTCTCAACTTCCTTGAGGTATAACCTCTGCACAATAAAATATGATGAAGACATAGAACTATCTCAAAAAATTACTTCTTGCATTTTTGCTGTCCATTTCACCCCCATCCCAGTCAATCACTGATTTTGTGTGTATATGGTTATTCTAGATTAATTTTGTCTCTTCTAAGATTTCATCTGATTATAAGATGAGGCTTATATAACATAGGATGAACTCTTTTAAGCATCTGGCTTTACTCAGCATTATGTTTTGAGGTTTATGCATGTTGTTATGTATCAGGAGGTAGTTTCCTTTTAATTGCTGGGTATTATCCATTGTATGCCTGTGCCACAATTTGTTCATTCATTCAACTGCTGGTAGATCGTTGTGTTGTTTCCATTTTTGATTTATGAATAAAGTTGCTGTGGACATTTGTGTACAAGTCATTGTTTTCATTTCTCTTGACTTAAAACCTAGGGATAGATCTGCTGGGGCACATTGATCTATCAAGAAACTGCATCACATCTTTGCCAGTATTTAGTGCTGTCAGCTTTTTACATTTTCCTTTGTGTGTGTGTGTGTGTTTCTTTCGAATACCAAAACGGGAACTCTTTTTTTTTTTTTTCCAATGTAATTTTGTAAAGGAATTGTAAGGCCCTGTGGGATGTCAGGAGGTTAATCTATGTGAATAGTTACTAGTCTGAGATGGATAATGTGGAGGGTATTCTTAACAGGCTCTCTGCAAGATTACTATAGGACATACAAGTTTGACTTATGTCTGCCTATCACTTCTAGGCCCGCAGAACTTCAGAATTTTAATGGAAATTATTATTTCAGGAGTCATAGCAGAGTGATTCCATAGGCCTGAAGACAGGTATTACTGATGGCCTTTCTCACACTGCTTTAGACTAGCAACGTCCAATGAAACTGTGTACAGTGATCCCTAATAGCCATGTGTGGCTCTTGAAATGTGACTAGTGCACCTGAAGAACTGAATTTTAAGATTTTAATTAGTTTTAATTTTAATAACGTGTCTAGTGGTTATTTTATTGCACAGTACATTTCTAAAATGTTATTTTTCAGGAAGCACATAGTTGAGTGAGACTTGTTAGTTGAGCTGGCTCTGGAGCAGGTTCATATAGTTTATCCTACTTCCCTTTCCTGTGGAGGAATTTGTGTCTCTGGAGACATGTAACCTAGGCCTGAAGCACCACAGAGAAGACCAGTGGATTCAGGAGTGTTGCAGTTATTTGTAATGAGGTGCTTTTAATCAGGTACTGCACACTTTGTTTTTTTCCTTTTTAATTTTGCCCTACTAATTCTTCGGTAAAAAATAAAGCATATACTTAAAAATCTAATTTTTAAAGTGAACCTTTGGACAAAAAGTATGTTATTTAAATTTGAAAAACTGCAGTGTTGTCCAGAGGAGTCCTGGTTACACCCCTCCTCCATTTTCTTTTTTTTTTGGATGAGAAGAAGCCCATTCTCTTCCTATACTTTAAAGGCTCTCACATAAGTAATGATGTAAGTTGTTAGTGTTAGTCGCTCAGTTGTGTCTGACTCTTTGCGACCTGATGGACTATAGCCCTCCAGGCTCCTCTGTCCATGGAATTTTCCAGGCAAGAGTATTGGAGTGAGTTGCCATGCCCTTCTCCAGAGGATCTTCCTGACCCAGGGATCAAACCCGGGTCCCATGCATTGCAGGCAGATCAGGGAAACTCAATGATATAATTACTTCGGCTAAAGTTTCCTTTAAATGTTTGTTGAGATTTTCATACTTTTGAGAAGCAATGAATTAATAATTTTTTACATTTCAAGTTACTAAGGAAAATATTATATAGCCTTCAGACAGTTAAATGTTCTAGTAAGTCAAATAGTTAAACTTATAACTAAAATTTCCTGTCAGTTTCAATATGTTCATTTCACAGTAGTTATATAGACATTGTGGCTGTGCTTTTGTCGCTGTTTCCTAGAGGCAAGGTCAGTATTAGAAAAACTGGAATTTTCCTTTGGCATTATTGTGATAAGTAAACAGCTACTATTTATAGGGACTTATATTCTGATGAGAAAATGAGATATCCTGCTTGGCTTGCCATAAAAACACAGATGCTTCTAGATTCCAGTAGGGAGGCCTTTTGCTCATAGCATCTGTTTCAGTTACCCAGGGGGCCAGATGATTTCTACAGACTTTTTCACTCTTTTTTAAAGGACACCAGATCTTTGACAAGAAAAAAGTTCACAAAGGAAAAGGTTAAATTAGCATTTTGTAAATTTTTAAATAACTTTGGGTGTATCAATTCTGTGTTAATTGTATCACTTCCTAAATAACCTTGAAATGTCCTTTGCATCCATGTTCTTTGAATTGTTTATTCTGCAGTTGAGGTAGATTGTATTGATCCATAAGTTCATCTGTTCAACAAACATTTGATGAGCACTGACTGTATCCAGGCCCTGTCTCAGCCTTGGGAACCGTAGACACGAACAGGGTACAGTCTCAGTCCTTGAGAATCTTCTGTCTTTCATGCAGTATAAACAGACAGTAAAAATTTAAAATTCTTCCATTTGACATTTGTCTTTCCAGAAGGGGAAGGTGTTTAGGAAGGTCTTCTAAAAGATGTAATTCCTGAGCTGAGAAATTGTGGGACAAGTAGGAGTTGACTAGGCACGGGGCTCAGAGTTAGGGAAGAGAGGAGAATGTAAGAGAAAAAAGCTTTTGTAGGTGAGAGAGACCCCAGGGTGAGTGGGAAACAAGGTCTGCACATTTTGGTCAGGTGGCTGGTCAGACTGTGACTATGGGCAGAAATACTGTCTCATTCGGAAAGCAGACTTGTGACCTAAACCTTATTTGTGTCATGTTCTAAATTATACCCCAAAGGATTATCCTGCAAACTCTTCAGGTGCACATGCCCTGCTTTAGAGTCCAGTGCTCTGAACGGCTGGGATGGACGGCTATGTTGAAACTAGCCTTTTGGTTTCAAACCAAAGCAAAGCAGAGTAATTTATTTTCCCTTATAAATTTGTATTTGGAAGACAAATTTACTGGGAATCAGCTTTGGGTTGACGTTTGAAGAATGAGCACTTTAGTCATAAATGAATTACGATTGTCATATTTCACTAACTAGGAAACCCTAGAGGTTGGAGGAAAGATTATTGGTTACATTCATTATATGAAGGAATGTTTTTCTCATAGCTGTTGGCCAAAAGGACAGTTAATTGCCATTTTATCTTAAATATACCTTTAATTATTTTTGTTGGGAGATATTTGGAAGATAGTTTTTATTAGTCTACGGGAGATATGGTTCATACTACTTGGGATCTCTTATGAAGAAATGCTTTTTCATGATACACTTTATCAAATTTATCTCATTGCATTTTTATCAGTCGGGATCTTTTATTTTTTTGAAGAAATGGAAAACCCAACTCAAGTAAGCTTGAGGAAAAGGGAATTTATTGACTCAGCCAGCTTTCAAAACTGGTCTCCAGGGCTTTAACTTCTTTGTCAGGTCTGAGTTTCAAGGTGTCTGTCTTCCTCGCCTTTGCTTTCTCTGTGGTAGTTTTATTCTTTCAGGGCAGAAAGTCCTTCTTCATGTGGTGGTGATGCAAGGGAGAGTGCCTGTCTTCTAGCACCTGTCTGTGTAAAATCCCATGGATGGATTAGGATTCTGATGATAGCCTGTGTGCTGTGATTGGCAGGCCCACAGGAGCACATGGAATGGGAAAGGAACAGTTTCCGAAAGGCAGGGTTTGCTATTACCACAGAGGAAGGAGTCAAAAACATTGTATTTATTACAAGTAATGGGAAATAGAGAACAGGAAGGCATAACATATTCTTTAAGGATATAAAAGGTGACTTAATTTTGTTTTCCTAATCATTGATTCTTATAGAGTATGCAAGCTGCAAGATGTCCTACAGATGAATTATCTTTAACTAACTGTGCAGTTGTGAATGAAAAGGATTTCCAGTCTGGCCAGTGAGTATCTGACTTCATTTTCTTCTTACCCGCAAAGTGGTATTTTAGAAACTTGTCAAGAATCGTTGTTTTTTGGGGGGGTGGGGGGAACGTTGGAGTGTAAGTTTTTTAATTCCTCTTGCTGAATTGGAAAATGGAAGAGATGAAAAAGAGTTGTGTACTGCATCAAATTTTGATAAATACAGTGTTTTCTAAGTCATGCATAGTTTTTTATATGTAACTTTATTTTTTCATTGGTTTTCTTAGCAGAGCTAAGCATACTGGTTATATGACTCATTATATAGCGTAGTCATTAGGTTTTTGGCTCTGGAGTCAGATGGTCTGCATTTTGATCCTGGTTCTGCCTATTACAAACTGGGTGACTGTGGGTAAGTTATTTACCCTGACTGTGCCTCAGTGTGTTGATCTGTAGAATGGGGATGATGATACCATCTTCTTCAGGGTATTTGTGAATATTGAGTTACACGAATAAATCACTTAGAACAGTGCCTACCACATTAGTAGGTCCTTAGCAAATATTAGCTGTTTAATCATGGTTACTCTGACAACCCCAGAGACAAGAAAATTGGAAGATGAACAACTGTAGAATCTTAACAAGCATTTTTCATTGTCATTTTTTAAAAAAATTATTTATTTTTTAATTTAAGGTTAATTGCTTTACAGAATTTTGTTATTTTCTGTCATACAGCATGACTCATTGTCATTTATTTCAATTCGTTCACATCACCCACTGCCTGAACTTCTAGATACCATGCTATCAAGTTCAGTGCCATCCGTGGTGCTTCTAAGGTTGGTAGAAATAAGGACATGAAGGGTCAGTACCAGAAGGCAGGCTAGGGAAATGAGGAAGGAAGTGGGATTTTAGCTGAGCCTTTTTCTGTTTTTAAAACTATCTTCGAAATACATGAGTTTCACAGAGATAGAATTGCTAACTGTGGTTTTTGTCCTCAGAGTAGAGGGCTACATTACATGATCGTATTACCATTCTTTCCAGTCCTAAAAATTCTGTGACACAAAACTTTCTACATATAAACTGGACTGTATATTATATATAATCAGTGTGAGAATTTGCTAATGGAATTCACTGTACACATGATGGGGTTACTTAAAATATAGTGGATATAAGGAACTTGTGTCCTACTGACAAAATGATACGTACGGAAATGTTAGCCATTAATATTTTTTTAAATTATAATATTCTAAAAGATAATTTTAAAAAGATAGTGTTGCTGTAACGAGAGTTTGAAGCTTCTGTCTCCTACACAGTCTTGTGAGTTTCTTGGTATAGGAGATTTATCATGAGATAACTATATTTCACCTATTTACTTGTTGTGTTTACTTCTGAGCAGGGTGAATTAGAACAAAATGCTTTGAAATAGTAAATATTGATATCTATATGAAAGCTGATATATTTCATGAAAATTTTTCATTTTTACCACCTTTAAAATTTTATAGGCTGTTATTATTTCAACCTGTTGTGGAAATCTGCAAAGAGATTTAAGGAATAGTCCTAAAAACTAACTTTTTTTGGACTGCCATAGCCATGGCTCTTCTATTTCCTTTAGTCTAGTTAGTATGTGAAATAATTCTCAGGAGAGGAAATTCATCTAATTTTTACTTAGTATCAGGTAAATCAGTGCCTTCAATTTTATGTAAACTGGAAATGTAATGGGGTTGATGTTTCAGATGGCATGTACCCTCTTGAACTTGGTCTTGATTCTGCTTGATGTCTGTTTGGCCCAAGGTGGTCCTTACGCCTAGAACACATTGTGAATTGCTGACAATTTGTGGAAATGAAATTTGTGGTCCTATTTCTTCAGGACAAATAATGCCATGTTTTCACTTGGTCCTCATCAAGCATCCTCTGTTGGAAATGAGCTTATTAGAGTTGATGTTCTTTATTTCCCTTGACATGGAGTGTTGACTGTGTTTCTGTCTTGTAGGCATGTACTTGTGAGGACCTCCCCCAACCACAGGTATACATTTACACTGAGGACCCACCCATCTGTGGTTCCAGGGAGCATTGCATTCAGCTTACCTCAGGTAACTAGGATGTGAATTTATTCTCCTCTAATCTTGAAAGTCGTAAAAGAATCAATTCACTTAAAGCAAGCTGTATCACCCTGTAATGATATTGATTCATATTGAAGAAAACCATCTAGGTGTTATATAAGGAATTTAAAGATAAATTCTTAATTGCCAGTTTCTACCGTATCTGTCTTTTATTGCCTTGATTTTTCCCCCAATTAAAAAAAAGTAATTCTGCAGTGATTTCAGTTAGCTATCAGACAGTGTCAAGTTATTTTAATGTTAGCTCTCAGGGTAATAGAGAATATATAAAAATAGCACTTACATCTAAAATTGACATCTAATAATAGCGTTTTTAAAATACAATGATGTTAGACTAAAGAACATGATATGAGTAGGGCTTCCCCGATGGCTCAGTGATAAAGAATCTGCCTTCAGTGCAGGAGACACAGGAGCATGTGGGTTCGATCCCTGAGTCGGGAAGATCCCCTGGAGAAGGAAATGGGAACCCACACCACTATTCTTGCCTGGAGAATCCCATGGACAGAGGAGCCTAACCGGCTACATTCCAAACAGTCACAAAGAGTCGAACATGCCTGAGTGACTAAGCACAGTTGTTATTTCAAATTACAGCCTAACTTGCTGGGCTTCCATTAATAAGTGGAAGGATTATGATTAGATTTATAGCTGTTGGTAGATCCTGTGGAGGGGAAATTGCCTACCACTCTTGCAGGCACATAATATATAATACAGGAGCATCGCAAGTACTAGTCTGTGTCCTTTCCTCCCTTGTCATCTTACTCAGGCTGCTGATCCCTAGTCCTGAACAGGGCAGATGCAGCCCTTACTCCTGTACTATGCCAGTTGATTGCGGCCCTCCCACCCCTGGAGGTTTAGGGAAAGAGATCAAAAGGAGAGTTAACTCCTTAAGGAACTGTTAAAGATCTCCTGAATCCCTCACATGTTATGGGAAATCTTCATTTGCTATTCCCTTTCCCCTTTTGGATGCCTCTGCAGTATCAGGACTGCTTTTTGCATTTGTTTATATAGATCAAAGGTTTGGAATATTCTGGGGCTTACCAGCTTTCTCAGAGCTAAATTTGAGACTCAGCTGGCCAGAAATGGGATTTCTAACCATTTTTCCTTGTCTCTCTGCTTAAAAAAAAAAATTTCCCCAGCATTTACTATAGACCAAGTGCTACTCTTAAGTGCTTTTGCATGTGTTCCTTCATTTAATTCTCTCAACAACCCCAAATGATGGATACTATTATCGTCATCCTTGAGGCTATCTCTGGGTGTAGAACCTAAATGTGGCTGCTTTGTGACCCCAAATCTGGGCTTAACCAGTGTGCCTCTGCATCTCTGGTTGGCCGGAAGTGGGATGGAGTATGACAGAAAAGAGAAGTGAAGGGTGGAGAGGAGGTGAGAAAGCTGGAGGGGAGAGCACTTGTTGCATGTATTCAAAACGCAGCATCTTCTTACCCCCTCACCACCGCAAAGTTCACGAAGTTTAGATGAGTATACAAACTTGTTTTTCAGTCAAGGATTATTTTTCTCACTGTTCTTTGAAGTGTTGTCAGTAAGTACTCACTTTGAATCTATATCAAGCCAGTCCTGAATTCCTGCCTGAATTCAATCTGTCCTGCCTCCATATATTCTTGCTGTTGTAACCAGTCGGTACCTAGGGAGAAGCTAAAAGCCTTGTCACAAATGCCTGACACTTCTTTGGCTAGTACACAGAGTAGTCGTGACCATATAATGATTTGAATCCCTGCCTGGTTTCATTATAGCCTATCTGATGAGTTCTGATTTATTTTTCATGAATTGAACATCTTTCTTTTTGTGCTACTGTATCAAACAGTGTAATTATCCACAGTGCACTTAGAATCTGAAATGTCTGATACTACAGAGGCCTTCAGGAGCATTAAAATATTATGCAAAGGAACATCCTACTCAGTGGTGCCGGCTTTACTGTAAAAAGGCAAGCTTTCTATGTTTTGAGGCCAGATATTCAGGTATAAATAAACTATAGCATATGTTTGCTAGGGCGGTTGTAACAAAGTACCACAAATTAGGTGGCTTAAAATAACAGAAATTTATTCTCCCACAGTTCTGGAGGCAGAAGTCTGAAACCAAGGTGTCAGCAGGGCTGTATTCTCTCTGAAGGCCCTAGGGAAAAATCTGTTCCATGCTTAGCTTCTGGTGTTGTAGACAGTCTTTGATGTTCATTGACTGTGGATATATCACTTCAGTTCTTGCCTTTACTGTCACATGACTTTTTCCCCATTTAACTGTGTCTCTCTTCTAAGGAAGCCATATTGGCTTAGAGTCTATCTTAATTCACTATGACCTCGTCTTTCCTTGATATCATCTGCAGAGACCGTTTCCAAACGCTGTCACATTCATTGGAGCTGGGAGCTAAGGCTTTAATGTATCTTTTTTTGTGGGGCATGGTTCAACACTTAACAGCCATGTTTTAGTCTTGGAATGTGTACATGAAATTCACAGAAATCCTGTTTTCCTCGTTTCTCTAATTTTCATGTGCTATTGTCTCTCCCCCCCTTTTGTTTTACAGCGAAAATGGGCTGGACTTTCTATTGGGCAAGAAATAGAAGGTAGGTATATTTTTTAGCTATCTGAGGTAGATTTTCTGTATGATTTTCTCATAGTTATAGAGGTCTGAACAGTTTTCTGTTCATCCATGTTACAGTTAGGTGTATGAGAATGAGAAGTAAGTAGTTACTTTGTCTACTTGTTATATGTTGTGAGTATTCCTGGGAAAGAAACATCCACATATTCATAGCTCACAGAAAAAGTGCAAGATAAATTTTTGCACAAATTACCTTTAAGAGCACTGTGTAAAAATGCTGAGATAGAACAGGAGTGGAGGAATCGATTGGAGACTGGATAATTAGCCAGAGAAATCTTACCAGCACTGGAGTTTTGAGCATGATTATGAAGTAGGAGAAAAGCATGACATGATAGTGACAAGGAGCAAAGGCTCTTCAGATGAGAAATAAAACAAATAAAAGGCACTGGGATGGGAGCAAGCAAGTTATAGGCATCGCTCATAAATATGTTTGATTGAAAGGTTTTGCCTGAATGGGTTGTATTAAGTGATGATAGGTGGAGTATGCAGTTAGTAGGCGGCCTGGAAATACATACTGAAATTTTTGGACTTTACACAAACACACTTAGAAGTTCTGAATAAGCCCATCAAAATCCTACCTTTAGAAAAGAGTTCTAATGTCATTGTGGAGTATAGCAAGGAGTGGGAAGAATTCAGGAGTGAAGGACAATTGCTGGGAGGTTATTTGACTTGCCTGGAATTAAGCTGAATAGGACTTTGTGAATTATGGCTATGGAAAAATTTTTTAAAAGTTGAAGTTGTGTTAAAGAGGAATAATTGGTATGACATGGTGATTCCATTTTACTGTATACTGAGATGTATTTTCTAATGTCTTTGTTTAAAAAAATAAATCAGGTTTAGGGTAAGGAGAAGAAAGGGTGGCAGTACTTAAGAAAACTATGGACTTTTAAAAAATAAAACGTGTCATAAAGTCATCATAGTTCATTAGGGAAGGATATGGAAAGCAATTTATGACTTAAGGGAAAAAAAAAGACTAAGCCACTTGTGGTTTATAAACCAAAGAGCTAATAAGTGAACACTGGCATTGTTTCTTAGTCATTGTGGCAAAGTTGGGGAAATGAAGTGTGAGTCGTTTTGTCAGGTAATTTTATGTTAACTTCATGGATTCAGTAGGGCAAGAAAAGAAAATCCAAGTGTAATTAAGTCAGCTTTTTTCCTGCTAGCTTTTAAGACTAGCAGAAAAAATTAATAAACTAGTAAACTAATAAAAATTATTGATTAGTTTATTAATAAACTAATAAAAATTCATATTATGGAAAGGTTATAAAAACAATACAGAGATATCTTCTAAAAGATACCATTTGACTCTCATTTATACAATAGTTAATCTTTATATTCTGCCTTCCTGTTTCTCCTCTCATTTTGTAATTAACTGCTTCCTTTTTTTTTCAAGTTTTAAGTCTTTTTTTTTTTTTTAGTGGAAGAAGCAACTTTTTAAAAGTTGAGATATAATTGACATATTACATTATATTAGTTTCAGGTATGCATGCATGCTAAGTCATTTCAGTCATGTCCAAGTCCGTGCAACCCTATGGACTGTAGCCTGCCAGGCTCCTCTGTCCATGGGGATTCTCCAGGCAAGAATACTGGAGTGGGTTGCCCTGCCCCCCTCTAGGGGATCTTCCAGACCCAGGGATCAAATCCTCGTCTCTTGTGTCTCCTGCTTTGGCAATCAGGTTCTTTACCACTAGCACCACCCTGATGCTGTGAAAGATTAAAGGCAGGAGAAGGGGACGACAGAGGATGAGATGGTTGGATGGCATCACCGACACGATGGACATGAGTTTGAGCAAGCTGTAGAAGTTGGTGAAGGGCAGAGAAGCCTGGCATGCTGCAGTCCATGAGGTTACAAAGAGTCAGACATGACTGAGTGACTGAACTGAACCACCTGACACAATGGTTTGATATTTACATAGCTTGTGAAATGTTTACCACAATAAATCTAGTTAACATCTGTCACAAGATTTTTTTTCTTGTGGTAGTGACTTGTAAGGTCTACTCTATTAGCAACATTCAAGTGTGCAATACAGTTTTACTCACTACAGTCACCATGGTGTACACGTTAGTTCATTTCTTTCTACGGTATTTACATGCTGTGCTGTGCTGTGTTGTAGTTGCTTCAGTCGTGTTCAGCTCTTTGCGACCTCATGGACTGTAGCCCACCGGGCTCCTCTGTCCATGGGGATTCACTAGGCAAGAATACTGGAGTGGGTTGCCATGCCCTCCTCCAGGATTTACATGCTGTTCTTCCACAAATGACCTCATATTTGTTTTAGTCTCAGCTCTCCAATAAATCTCTTAAATGATCATGATCAGTCCTTTTGCCAGTTTCTACTTGGTTGGATAAAACCTATCCTCTAGTAGATTCCTCCAGGAAGCATATATGTGTACAGTGTTTCCTAGGTTCTTGGATATTCAGGCTTTTTTCTTTTATATCTTTGATGCCCGTAAGGGCAGCTTGGCTGGATATAAAATTCTTGGCTTTTCTTTCCTTGAATTTCTTGAAAATACTGTATCACATTGCCTTATTTTGTACTGAACTGTTGAGAACCCTGATGCCAGTCTTGTTTTCTTACCTTTATAAGTAATTTGATTTTTTTGCCTGGGAGCCCTGAGGGGTTTTCTGTCTTTAAATTCTAATATCCTTGTTAGGATATTGCTTGGAATTGGCCATTCTGGGTCAACAACTCAGCTATACAATACTTTATTTCAGTATGTAGATTTAAATTTTGTCTATTTCCAGAAGATTTTCTTAGGTTTTGGTTTTAAATATTAGTTCTGACTGAATTGTTTTGATTTTCTTCTCCAGGGTTCTAATTATACATGTATTTTAGGCCTTATCTGTCTTACATCTCAGCTGCTTTCTCTCTATTCTTGGTAGATTCTTTATTTTTATTATCTTGGTTGTTTTCTTGTCTTCATTCACTGCCTCTTATTAAATACTAACTTGAATCTATTCTTCCATGGACACTTTGTAATTTATTATTTGCTTCTGAGTAGTTTTATTTTTCCTCGATTTCTTTGCTGTGTTTGATAAATTCATTGCATTTCTTTTATTAATATTTGTTTATGTTCTTAGTTTTTAATCTTCTGACTTTAGGTGTTTTGTTATATGTCTAAGTACTTGTTTGAGGATATTTAATTTAGTTTAAAATGTTATGTATATTTTCTATTTCATAGTTGATCTTTTTAGAGAAGACAGCTAAAATGCTGCAATATTTTCTTATTATGTTTTCTTTACAGTAACTTTGTGGAATTATTTTTTTTCTGTTTCACATGATTTTGTAGGCAAAATTATTAGTGCAAGAGCATTCTTTTCTGTTAGTGTAGAGAAGGGTAGTTTCTTTAATAATGGTGAGGGGGGTAGATAGAAAGGTTGGTTGGCATAGCTTATTTGTCTTTGGTTTCTGTGTGATCCCTAATTTTCCTCTCTGTCTTCTTTCCTTTATTGCCATGTCTTGAAAGGCACCACCCTTTTTCTAGTTATCTGATTCTTTCCAGTGATTCTTTGATGTTACTACTTCAGTTCCACTCACTTTCAGGTCCTTTTTGGGTACCTAGTGTCTTGGACTACCAAGTCCCAAACCTGTGTATAGTGTTTTGGCTGATGTTAGACTTTCTCTTTTGAGGGGTGATTTTTGTTTGTATTTTCCCTATGTACTGCTTTCCCTTCTTTTTTTCCACAGTGGGAACTCTGTCTAATCTTGTTACATATTTCTCTGTTTTCAAGTAATTTGAGTTTTATGGTATCCTCTGTGTCTTAGTAATGCTAACGGTGTGGACTGTGCGTAGCATTATTTGTTCTCCTTGCTGTTCCCACAGAGTTTTAGGAGGATGTGTGGGAATGTTCAGATTCACATTCACATCCTCTGAATCTAAGCTTTTGGAGATATTCAAAGATATATTAACTTTAAACTGGTTGAAAGAAAGCAATTACTTAAAGCAGTTGCCTGGAACACATTATGAGCCTAGTCTATAGGCTCAAGATGCCTGAGAAGAGAAGTTGGTAAAGTGGAAGGAGAGAGTTATCCTCTTTCTCATTTAGGAACTTGGCAACTTATTGTTTGTTTTTTCGTGAATCAGAAGGATCTTAAATATTGGGATTATCTTTATTTGGTCTTTTCTTTGTGGAAGTAGGATTAAAGATAAAATTTTTTGCCTGGGGGTGAAAATAAAGGAAATTAGATACAGATAACTGGTAGTGAATGTTGGAGAATTAGTGCTTTCTAAGCTTGCAACCCACTCCAGTATTCTTGCCTGGAAAATCCCATGGACTGTAGCCTACCAGGCTCCTCAGTCCATGGGGTTGCAAAGAGTCGGACATGACTAAGCGACTTCAATCAATCCAATCCAAACTTGCCTCACAGAAATACCTGGGGAATTCTGTTTTTGTTTTTTTGTTTTTTTTTGTTTTTAAAGATTCTCAGGCCCCTCCCTTGGGGAGTCTGATTCATGAATCTGTGTTTTTAACAACCACCCTTAAGTAGTTGTTATTAGTCACATTTTTGGGAATATTGACATAAGTGATTCCCTTAACTGTGTCCTCCTCACCTGAAAGCATAGCATGAGCTGAGACAGTGGAGGAGTTCAGCACCAAAGGGAAGTAGGTCGGTGCGTGAAGCCAGGGTTCCCTGTTTGTAGACACTGTCAGAGATAAAAATGAACACTTGTTAAATCTAATGACAAGACCGATGTGTATGGAGCTTAGGTTTCTAATTTCCGTAAACTTACTTTTCTAAATATGAGTGTTCTTAATTTTTAATGCAGATAAATTCTGTTGTGAAAAAGAAGATTCAAGATGAAATGAAAAGAATGTGTTTTTTGGCCTTAAATTGTGTTTAAAGCATTCTCCTGCTACCAGAAATGCTTATCTTGAATGTAAAATCAGTTCTTTAAAAAGGCAAATCAAACAGACCTAATTGGCAGAATTATAAAACTTAAGTGTTCAGATGGGACTAAGATGAAGTAAGTTTGAGGTAAGGAAGGGTTTGGGGGCCTGATTGTTGTCTTGATGTAGCATAAAGGTACAAAACTTTTTCAGTGTAAGTAGAGGTGTAGGCAAAGAGAGAATAGGAAGTTTGGTATGAAGGGGAGTGCTTATTCAAAGATTCTAAAACAGGAGTTCTGTCTGTTAGGAGAATTTTTTAGTCAGGTCAGTGATTTTAGTTCTCAGACTAAATCTTTTAGAAGAATCGTTTAGTTTTCCCTCTGTCTGTAAGTACCATGTTTTAAGTATTGCAGACTGATGTTCAGTTAACACATGTTTTTTTGAACCTGTCTTTGTAATACCTGTTCAAAGCATTGGCTATAAGTTTTTGTTTATAAATTAATCTTTGATGTTAAATTGCTATTGGTCGTAAAATGAGAAACATTCTTAACCTTTTGGCTCTTTGTTCCTTGTTGAAACCTTAGGGGCATCTGTCCCTTTGGGGGCTGATGATGGCGCTGACCATGGTGCTGCCTGTGAAACTGTCCATGGTACTGCCGTAGCATTTGAAATTGTAACAACTTGGTCTTTTCTATTTAGGAACACTGACCTTTAAATTAAGATGCATTTGAAAACTATAGTCAGTATTGATGATATTTTAATAACTTATTCAAATTTCTTGGTATAAGAATGGTTCACACATGTGTATATATCCATGCATATATGCATACATATGCATATACACACACATGATGATGCTATGAAATTGTTTTGGAGTCTTTAATGCACAAAATTGTGTCATACTGTGCAACCCTTTCTGAATTATACTTTTTTCACTCAATATTATGTTTTAATGGACCATTCATCTTTATTAAATATATATCAGATTTTAATTTTAAGTGCTACACATTATTCTACATTATGACTATGCCACATTTTATTCATAATTTCCTGACTGATAAGCCTTTTCTAAATGTTTGACTATTAGAAATATGCTGCAATGAACCTCCCTGTAACTTTCTAGTTCAAGAGTCTTCTGGGACAGACCCCTGGAAATGAGATTGTCAATCGACTTGTTTATTTTCCATTAATAATTCATCCTATAAATATTTCGTTGTATGGAGAAACAACTAAGCTGTCTTATGAAAATCACTCAGAATGTAATATGTACTTCCTAGGAAGTACACAAAAAGAACACAACATGCAGAAGTGGAGGCCAGAGAGTATTCTGAAACTCTCAGCTGAGATTTGAGCTTATCTTTGACCTTCAGCAAATTTTCCAACCCTCCATCCTGGCTTTCTTTGTTATTTTGCTTTTGAAAACATATATCAAGTATGTGTGTCCCCTTTATGATGGCCGACCAAAATACAAAAATGATTAATTAAGCAATTTCATTCAAAGAACTTACAAAAAATCCTTGTACTTAACTCAAGACTAGACTCAGCTAGTCTGTAAGAAATAAGTTGAGAACAGAAATTGAGCATGAAAGGGCCATAAAGATTTATCTAGCCCAGTCTTATTTTATAGGTGTGACAAATCAAGGCACAGAGAGTTAGGTGATTTATAGATTCGTCCATTTACTAACAGATGGAAACACATGGTTTCCAGGGTCCCTTTGTTACCAGCATGGAAAGTGTAGGTGTTTTGCCGCTGCTGTTTGATTTAAACCGTTCGTGAACATATTAAGCATCCTGCCGACACTGCTGCTTGTTTGCTGTGCTCAGTCATGTCCGACTCTTTGCGACCCCATGGACTGTAGCCCACCAGGCTTCTCTGTCCTTGAAATTTCCCAGGCAGAAATACTGGAGTGGGTGCCATTTTCTCTTCCTTGGGATTTTCCCGACCCAGGGATTGAGCCTGCATCTCTGGCATCTCCTGCATTGGCAGGTGGATTCTTTACCACTGAGTCACCTGGGGAGCCCACAGACACTATTAGGTGCTGTTAATACACAAGTGAGCTAAAGGTCTGGTCTTTGTCCTGTTATGCTTGTAGGACTTACAGTGGTTCCCCTGAAATCATAGATGCTCAGTAAATATTTTTGTACTATTAAAAAAAGAAATGTCAAAGTCTTAAGTTGCTCTGGAGGAAATCCCTCTAGAAAACATTTTTTTCTCAAGGGTTTTTTTGGTTTTGTTTCGGTTTTTGTTTTGGTCCTACACTCTTAATTTGCTAAAGCAAGAGTCCACACCTCTGACCTTAGCTCTTTCTTGTGTCAAGCAGAAGTCTTGTTTGAAAACAGCATGGTATGCCATCTCCACTAGGACTTCCCATTCTGTCACTCCATCCTCTGCTTAATGAGGAGGAAGATGGAGAGGCTATATGGGGGCAGCTGTAATTTCCCCAGAACAGTCAGGTGAGGGGTAAAAGTACAGGAGATTGCTGTTCAGTATGTTCCAATTAAGTCAGGGGGAAGAACATCTCTAGTAGTTATTATTATGTTTAAAAAATATCTGTGCCTTATGTATCCCTCCAATGAAGGTCATGAAAAATCCCCCTTTGGTCAAGTTCTAATTCATTTATGTGAAACTTTTAGTTACTTGAAGCACAGCAAGGATTTCGTGTCTTTGTGACTTAAAAAAAAAATGCTCCTTTTTTTCCTCCCTAGTGTCCTTATATACCTTTGACAAAGCCAAGCAGTGTATTGGCACAATGACCATCGAGATTGATTTCCTGCAGAAAAAAAGTATCGACTCCAACCCATATGATACTGACAAGATGGCCGCAGAATTTATTCAGCAGTTCAACAACCAGGCATTCTCAGTGGGTCAACAGGTAGTTTTAAACTTTCTTTCATTTAGAGACATTTTTATCTCTGTACTTGTCCAAAATTAATTGTTTTTTAAAAGCTGAGAGGAGCTTTGCATATGAACAGCTATATCTAGGGTGAGTGATAAAAAGTGAGGGAAATATATTTGCTGAACCTCTAGCAGACTGTTTAGAAAAATTAAAAAGTTAGCTTACGGTGTCATATATAAGGACAGCAGCTTTTCTTTCTGTAAATTTGGGAACACTATAGACATGTGTATCAAATTTCTTTTCTTGCCATGGAACATTTGTCTGGGGATGTCTTTCTGTTTTCCTGATGTATTTCTGTAGAAAAGTAATTCTTGACTTTATGAGCTGCTTTGAGAATCTTAAGAAAATTACATGTAAATATATATTCAGTTTTTTATGGAGCTTTTGAAGCCCAGATTTTCTCTTCTTAAAAATAATATTGCTTATAAAGAAGATGAGGGTCATATATACAATGGAATATTACTGAGCCGTTAAAAAGTGAAATAATGCCATTTGTAGCAACATGGATGAACCTGGAGATTATCATACTGACTGAATGAAGTGAATCAGGTAGAGAAAAATGTGATGTCACTCATATATGGAATTTAATCTTAAAAAAGAAGTGAACTTACATACAAAACAGAAATGACTTACAGCTATTGAAAACAAACTTACGATTACCTAAAGGGAAACACTGGGGGAGGGATAAATCAGAAGCTTGGGGTGAACACACACACACACACACACACACACACACTACTATATATGAAATAGATAACCAACAGAGACCTACTGTATAGCACAGGGAACTCTACCCAATATTTTGTAGTAACCAATATGAGAAAAGAATCTAAAATAGAATGAATATGTGTATAATTGAATCACTTGGCTGTACACCTGCAGCTAACGCAACAGGGTAAGCCAACTATAGTCCAATAGAATAAAAGAAAAAGATGATCCTGTTTATATTGCTCCCTTCTTTGGACTTCAGTTAGTACATTGTTTGGTCTCCTAAGAAGAAATTCTGTATGTGTGTTTTTTTTAAATTTTACCTAAAAAATGTGTGAGTTCATAAATTATTATTTGTTTTTCTACATAAACAGTCTCTGCTGTTTTGACCTTACGATTCCATTTGTCTCTTTTTCTGTGACTTCTGAATCATTAACTCCTTCCTCCTACCATAGCTCCATAGCAGCTGTTCTCAAACTATGGCCTTGAGGCCCTTTCAGGGGGTTTGTGAGGTCAAATCTAATATCAAAACATTTTTTATAAAGGATGTTATGTGCCCATTTCCTCTTATTCTCTCACAAGTGGAGTTGTGCAGGCCACATGATGGGTACTAGCATAGTTACACTGCCTGCTGAAGCAAACATGAATGCCCAGTGGTCTTCCATTAAGCAAGAAATGAGAGATTTGCAGAAATGTCACAGTGCCACTCTTCCCACTTATGTTTTATACCTTGGGAAATGGAAATACTTTAAAATAAATTATAAATATGTTATTTGTGTTAATATATAATGTACTTTATTTTTTTAATTAATTAAATTTCTTGTTCTAATTTCTGAAATAGTGAATATCAACAGATTGCAATCCATATAAACAAAATTTGGGGGTTTAGGAATGTAAAAGGATTCTGAGGTCAAAAAGTTTGAAAATTCCAACTTCATAGTGTTCTGATCTCTTATGAGTTACATAGACTGTCCTTGTGTCTCTCCTGTGGGAAGGCCTGTAAAATGGGAGAAATGGCAGGAGGAGGGACCTGTGGAAATGAGGGTAGTGTCATTACCTGGAAAGACGAGACTCTTAAGGATTTGGTTAACCCATATATCATAATATCAGACTTTCACAATTGGAAACTTGAGTTACTGATAGACAGGAAAAGGACACAGAACACTTACTATTGTTTTTAAGAGTACTGGAATTGAAATGAACCTCAGAGGTTATCTTGTCTAACCTCCTCATTTTGCACATGAGGAATTTTATTTAGGTCCAGAGATGATCTGTGAGCTGCCCTGTGTGGCTGAGACAAGAACCTGCTAGTTAGTTGATCCGTTCATTAACAAATACTTATTGAACACTTAGTATGAGTTCAGTAAATACTATTTTAGGCTCTGTAGATCTTTGGTGAATAAAACAGACACATTTCCTACCTTTGTGGAGCTTCCTTTCTAGTTGGGAAAGACAGAAAAGAAGAAAGAAATGCCATATCCTGTTAATGTCAGTCAAATGGGATGATGCACTAGAGATCCGCTGGGCTGCTACTTGGAATTAGATGGATTGAGGAGGCTCCCCAGGATGATAGGTAGCTGATAATTTGTTGACTTACCTGCCCATTGCTTTTTGGGCTTCACCATAGTCCTTCTGGATTCCTAAACTTTCTGATAGTTGCGCTCAAATTGCCTAACTAAAATTTCATTGTTTTTACCCTCTCCTTTAGCTTTTGTATTTTAATAGAAAATGCCTTGGTATTTGTAATAATTTAAAACCCAGTGACATGCAAACGTCTACAAACCCACGAAAGAAAATCCTCCATAATACAGAGAAAGAATAAATATCTTAAATCATTCTTCTTAGTATTTATTCCCATTCTTGGTAATTAGTGGTGGCAGGATTGACAGTCAGCCTTGTTCATTGTATTTTTGTTATACCCTGGTATCCCGAAGAGGGCCGAGCTTGTAGAAGGCACTTAATCAATAATTGGTGAGTGAATGAACATTCAGAAGCTGTCTCTGCACTTGAATGGAAGGCACTTTGTATTGATTGTAGAAAAGCATGATGTTAGAGGCACCCAACCAAGGCTTGCATCCTGGCATTGTCACTTGCTGTGACTCTAGGTCCCATTTAACTCCTCTCTGAATCTCAGCATCCTTACTGGTAAAATAGGACTGATTTTTTGCAGAAGAGTTAGTGAGTATTAATTACGGAACATCCTGTAATGTTTGTTTGGCACACAGCAGATACTCAGTAAGTGTTAGTTCCTTTGCTGTGTGGGTAGTTTGCCTTGTGGAGAAGAGTGAGCTGAGAAAGCTGCTTGCCTGTGTTTGAAAAACATTGGCGATGATGTGAATATCAAACCATTATATCACGAAGTGATTTTTTTTCCCCCTGTCTTTTCTACATAGCTTGTGTTTAGCTTCAATGAAAAGCTTTTTGGCTTACTGGTCAAAGACATTGAAGCCATGGATCCTAGTATCCTCAAGGGAGAGCCTGCAACTGGTAAAAGACAGAAGGTATGTTTTATTTCTGATCATCTGTATGATGTGCATTGTGCAAATTAATATAACTTTCCTAGCCATTCTCTACCTCAGTGATTTCTTTTCTATTATGTACTCTTTTAAGATAGTTGGGAAAAATTGCCTTTAAAGCCAGCATAGTTATTAAAATATAGTATAAAACAGACTTATGTGAAGATCTAATAGTAATTTGAAATAGCTGATAGTTTGAAAAATTTGCTTTGCTCATGGAGACTTCATTTCTCTTTTGTTTTTCACCTTGCTTTGAGAAGTCCAGAGATCTGCTATAAGACTACTAATTATTGTCTTTCTTTATAGATTGAAATAGGGCTGGTTGTTGGAAACAGCCAGGTTGCATTTGAAAAAGCAGAAAATTCATCACTCAATCTTATTGGTAAGATTTACAGTTTTTCAGAAGATTCTGAATAAAGTGGGGCCATCTGTTAATAATGGGCTTTCCTGGTGGCTCAGACAGTAAAGAATCCACCTGCAATGCGGGAGACCAGGATTTGATCCCTGGGTCGGGAAGATCCCCTGGAGGAGGGCATGACAACCCACTGTAGTATTCTTGCCTGGAGAATCCCCATGGACAGAGGAGCCTGGTGGGCTACAGTCCATGGGGTCGCAGAGAGTTGGACATGACTGAGCGACTAAACACAGCACATCTGTTAACAATACGTGACTCAACTACAGTGATTAAACAGGGAGAGAGAATAGAGATACTTGCCTTGAAAAGGTATCACAGAATCATGGAGTATTTCATATCTTTCAGATATAGTGATGTAGAAAAAATTTAAAACCTTCACTAGATCAATTTTGTCCAATAGAAATATAATGTGAGCCATGTATGTCATTTTAAATTTCCTAGTAACCTCACTAAAAATAAGGGAAAAGATACAGATAAAAATTAATTTTTAAACTTTTAATAAATATGTGTAGGCTGACAGAAGATTCATAAAAAATATTCAGGAAGTTCCTGTATACCCTTAACCAGCTTCCTGTGATGGTACCTCTTAAGTAACCATAGTACACTTTTCCAAAACTAGATTAACATGTTTCCATTGCTGCTAACTAAACTAGAGACTTTATTTGGATTTCATCAGTTTTTTCATTATGTCCTTTTTCTGTTCCAGGGTCTAACGTGGAATTCCACGTTGCATTTAGTGGTTTAGTCTCCATAGTCTTCTCCAGTCTCTGACAGTTCCTCAGACTTTCACTGTCTTTTCATGACCATGAGAGCTGGTCATGTATTTTGTAGAATGTCCCTCAGCTAGTTGTGTGTTAAATGTGATACTAGCATTATTTCCATTAGTGACTGAGTTAAATGATCAATGTACAGGTAAAAAAAGTCTTTCCAGCAGATTCATAGTTCAGTCCTACTCTTGTATGTAAACCCCACTTTTATTATATTAAAATAATGCAGATTGGGCTCTAAAAATAGTAACTCATCAGCATAATGATGCCATTAACTGTATTTACCTATGTTGATGTCTATCCTAGTACAAGGTAGAGGATTTTCAGTGGTTACACACTATTATATCCAAAGTCATTTAAATTTGAATGTGTGTCCTTTTCTCCAGAGCCATAAATTATCATTCCTCTTTTATTGTTTCTCAACTGTAAAATATTTATTTCATGAAATATGAATAAGCACTCAAAAACAGCTCACTCTAAAATTTAAAATATTTGATTATATCTTCATACTGTTTTATAGTTCTTTTTGCTTAACATATTTCAAGCATCTTATAAATATACTTCTACAGGATTGTTTTTAATGACTAATATATTATTTTATGGCTTCCCTGGTGGCTAAAGAATCCACCTACCGAGTAGGAGACTCAGGTTCGATCATAATTAGGATATATCATAATCTACTGTTGTTGGCCCAGTATGTTTCTGGAGTGATTTCGTTGTATATTATATGGTATATTATCCCAAGAGTTGCATGACTTTCATACAATGGAGGTAATTTCTGAGGGTGATTAATAGTTTTTCCCATTTGAAAGTAAAATTATATAATTTGGCCACAAGAGGGCAGTAGAGTGTAAGAAAAGTATTTTTGGTTACTTCATAAAGGAAGTGTTAAGTCCACAAAACCCTAACCATACAATTAGCATCTAGGGTAAACTTTTTCTAATGTGACCTGTTATTCCCTAATTAAAAGAAAACTATAGTTCTTTCTTTTTTGTGTGTATGTGGACTGTACTAAGGCACTTTTATTCTTTGTGTTTGAGAGAGAGTGTGGTTCTCTTGAGTTACTTTAGGGGGCACTATGACGTTTAAGTTAGATAATTTTCTTCTTTGTGAAAGAATTTGAAAACATGAATTTTGAAATCATCCAAGACTTTAGGATAATTTTAGATTATTGTGCAAATGAAGAAAAAGCAAATAAGACTTTAAACTTCATACATCTTTTCAAGCTGAAGAGTTAAATTCCTGATTATATACTTAATTTAGATAAGTATATGTATTTTTAAATATTACTTTAGGAGCCTTGAGGGACTGCTAGATTTCAGTTGCATTTCTGGCAACTGGTGTTTTCTTCATCAGATATGCACATGGTGTTTCTTCTAATCAACCAAGTTAGTTAAGTTGGTTAGGAGTTAGAGGTCAAGAAGACCAAGCTCCATGGATTGACTACAGCATAGTTGAGCCAGTCATTTTGAAAGTGTTTTGCTGACCCTAAATGGGGACCAGGCAAACTAGCAAATATAACAAAACTCATCCTTCTTAAAAAATCAGCGAAGAAGGTGTTTTCATGTTTGATAGCTTTTCTTGATTCACTGAGGATGCCCAGGGAGTTCTGACTTTCTTTTTACACTTAGTGGTGAAGTTCTTTCTCACATTTGATTATCTTTGTTTGAAATAGGCAAAGCTAAAACCAAGGAAAATCGCCAATCTATCATCAATCCTGACTGGAACTTTGAAAAAATGGGAATAGGAGGTCTGGACAAGGAGTTTTCAGATATTTTTCGACGAGCATTTGCTTCCAGAGTATTTCCTCCAGAGATTGTGGAGCAAATGGGTGAGTTTTAAAAAGAAAAATTGGATAAAATCTTATACTGTTTTAAAAAATTGGATGTGATAAAATCTGTTTTCAGTAATGTTTTGAAATTATTTTTCAGGCCTGACAAACTGTTTCAAACTTTTTCTTCCTCTTTTAAAACTTAAAAAAACTTTTAAAGTTTTAAGATTTTTAAAACTACATTTTAATTTTATGGGAAAATCATAAAAATAATTGTGGTTGCTTGATTTAATTTATTCAAGTATGTTTCTCTATAGGACATATTTAGAAATTTCATTATATTTATATATTTATGAATTTTTACAATGGGGCCTATTTAGAAATGTCATCTGACCCTAAAGATTCATTAAAGGTCAGATTTACCATGCCGAATAGTCATTATCTATTAGACTATGAATACTGTTCTAATATTAGCTGTTGCTTTTTTTTAAATTGTATTACCCAGTTAATACATCTTCATACCTGGTAAATGGATACTTGGCATGTTTTAAATTAATGCAAAAGGACAAATGCAGCATATACATAGGAATTTCCACATTGCTTACAAAGAAATGCACTAGTCATTTATCACTTTTTTCTTGAAGGTTTATTTAATTTATCTGTGTGTGAAATGGCTTTATTTGCCCTGGTGGGAATGCTGTCCTGACTGTTTTCATATGCATATCATATGTTGGATTGGAATGTTAGCTACAGAATATCTGAGGAAGGAATTTATACCATAACAGCTTCTGGCAGATTATTCGTGTTAAAAACTGTATCCAAAAAAACTGAAGGAATACAAATATATTACTCCCTTCACCTCCATCATTCTTTATCTTTAAATTGCTACTGGGAGATAAGAGTATATTCATCATGGTGGGGCTGAGCACTACTTTCTAGGCAGTAAGTGCTTGGTTCTGTCAGCCTCCTATTGTTGGTAGCCTTTCTGCCTGGTCGCTCGCTCCGATAAGTTACACACGGCACACACCTGTTCACTGGCTAAAGGTCGAGTTTGAAATTGGATTAAGAGAAAATGACAGAGACCCTCATCACCTGAGTTTTATACACCTTGAAATGGCAATAACATACTTTTTTTTATCTGAAAGACACAAAGGCCAAGTCCATAAAAAAACAGAATTTTAATTTGGAAAATAGTTAAAAATGTGATAGTTCGTTACCTTGGTAATGTGTATTTTGAGGCACAATAAATCCATAAAACTTTAAAGTAAAGACATGGAAATATTGCTTAAGTATGTTTGAGGTATAAGCAGAGATTAAAGGGTGATTCCAAATGTTCTAAGTTATTCTTGTGCAATATCTCTTTACTTATTTTCAAGCCCGAGCACCATACAGAGAGTATGATGATTGTGTCTTTGAACATTTAAACTCCCCCTGGTGTCTCAGCGGTGAAGAATCTGCCTGCCATGCAGCAGATGTGGGTTCGGTTCCTGGGTTGGGAAGATCCCCTGGAGAAAGGAATGGCAACCCACTCCAGTGTTCATGCCTGGGAAAGTCTGTGCACAGAGCCTGGAGGGCTACAGTCCATGGGGTCCCAAGAGTCAGATACGACTTAGCGAGGAAACCACCACCCCTCTACAGCCGACAAGTAGAAAAAGAGCTGCTTCTATAAGTTATATATTTTAACTATATTAAAATATTTTCTCATGGTTTAAATGCTTACGAGGATTCAGATACTAGTTTCCTGTTTGTACATTGTCCATACCTTGCTCATTAGGGCCTCTCTCTGAGGTTGAGAGAACAACCTGTAAAGAAGTAAACCCATTTCTGTTGGTTTGTGACTCTGTCAGCTCTTGAAGAGTTTGAAATTAAATCAAAACAGATTTGGAATTTCTGAGTGACTTAGTCTGTTTCTGCAGTCCATATTGAAATCAGTTGAATTGTACAGTATGCTTTTTGTTGTTAACGTGCTTTTTGACCAAGGACCTTGAATTTCAGTTTTGTTTGTTAGTACTACTACCCATTACCTTTTTTATGGATTTATTTTTCTAATATTTTTACTGATTTACTTAGGCATACATGAGTTCTCTTAAAAAAGTAATACTTTTTTATCTTTCTGGCTTTTTGTCACCAAGAAGCATGTGTTGTCAATTTGACTTAAAAGATAATAAATTGGGGTGGGAGGGAGGCTCAGGAGGGAGGTGATATATGTATATATAGAGCTAATTTACATTGTTATATAGCAGAAACTAACAACATTGTAAAGCAATTATGTTCCATTTAAAAAATTAAAAAAACGGGGTGGGGGGAGGCAGTAAGTCTTAAGGTACCTTGGTGTTTGAGCTGAACTGAGAGACTTTCTCCTTTGTCTGAGTGAAGACTCTCCCTGTCCTTGTGCTGCCTTTTTAGTGGTGAAATGGCTGAGAAGGAAATCTCTTGCTGTGCATGTATTACTCCTTATTTTCCTGTGGAGGCTTCTTTTCGCATTTGAATTTTGGAGGAATTAATAGTAGAAAAATTTCATTGCCTTCTGAGTACAATGTGGTTAGAAAGTTCTCATTAGGCTTTGATAAAGGCATATAAAAAGTACAAATTGCTACATTTAATTTAAGATTACATGCATCTTTTTTATGTATACACTGTGTTCTTTTACCCTGCCAAGTGGGAACAGAATTGGCTGATTTTTTTCCTTCATTCTTCGTTAACTAAATAGTCAACCTGTGTGGGATCTCACTGGACATGGATATGACTGGTTAAATCAGTTCAAATGAAAAAAATAGGGATTAGAAAAGAATAATTAATGTAGGTTGAGACTGTTTTGTTTTATTTAAACAGGGAACATTTTTATTTTGGCTTGAGACCAAATCATTGTCTTTACCATGGAATCTAGAGTTAAGTCTACTTTGTAAACAGGAATCTTAACTAAATGGATCTTCTTGCCTATATATCAAGGTTTCAAGTTCACAAAGTGATAAATTTAGAATTCTCTTCTGTCATTGTGTTTATGAGACTGATAGTTATGCTTCTAGGTAATATAGTTCTTTCCTCTTGCCTGTAAAACTTCATGTTGCTTTTCAAAATTGCGTATATAGTTTAGATACATACAGAATTTTGCTGATGAGATACAGAGAAACTAAAGAATTAACCAGAGGCACACAATTATGCAGAAAAAATAGGGATCAAATAATGTAATAGACATGAAATAAGTGTCCCAGAGTTTCCCATATGTTAGTTTTTCTCAAAATACTTTCAAGTACGGAGTATATACCCTCCTGTTTTTGCTATAGTATTTTAAGAGAGAATCTTTTAACATTTTTACTTCTTCGTTTTTGGCTCTGCTGAATCTTCCTGGGCTTTTCTCTTGTGGTGAGTGGGGGCCACTCTCAAGTTGCGGTGCGTGGGCCTCGTTGCAGGGGCTTCTCTGGTTGCTGAGCACGGGCTCGAGGGCTTCAGGCTTCAGTAGTTGCAGCTCCTCTGCTCTAGGGTGCGGGCTTGATAGTTGCGGCGCATGGCCTTAGTTGTTTCAAGGCATGTGGGAGCTTCCCGAATCAGGGATCCAGTTCATGTCTCCTGCATTTGCAGGTGGATTCTTTACTGCTGAACCACCAGGGAAGCCCCTGTTAAAATATTTTTTTTTAAATGTAGAATTAAAGTCAAGGAAGGTCTTTAAGGGGAAAAGAGGTCACATACAACCAGCCCCACAGAGAGTGGAAGAAAGGTCATTTGTGGAATTAGGAAAAGGAGTTACTTTGAGGAAATGTACTTTGACTTCTGTTGTTCTTGTTTCAATCACTCTGTTTACTTTTTCCTTGTCTGGAGCAGTTGGACTCACCCCAAAACCCACATGGGGCTGCTCTTCCTAGAAAGCATATGAAAGCATTAGCAAGGAAAACTAGAGCTAAAGTTTGCACTTAGCAGGTACCCAACAGCCTCTTAGTTAGAATGTTCTCCAGCACCTACAGTGATAGCTGTTCAGTTAGGAAAGACCTTAATTCCTTACTCTGTGGGATAATAGAAGTACCTTTTGGGGCCCAGGATAGAAACCAGCCTCGGTAAGTGAGGGTGAATAAACGCACAGCCCTTGCGTCCACCGAGGTTTCAGTGGAATGCCCTTGTGCTCCTGTTCAGCCCTTCACCACGCTCACTGCCCGGTGTGCAGTTGTGTGGAGAGTGCTCTGGGCACAGGGTCACCTCCATTCTCATTGTAGCTCTTTGGTTGGAAAAGATAGTTTGTACAAAGAAACTCCTTTTTTGGCATCCCTGGCAGTTACCTCTATACCATAAATGTCAGAGCAAAAACAACTTTTTTTCAAATAACAGTGAAATAATTTTTAAAGAATTACTGTCTCTTAATAGAATTTCAGGACTAAGTTCACATGCATCAAGCAAAGTGGCTTTGGCAGAAGTTATCTGTTTCAGAGCTGGAAGGAAAAGAGTGTAGTGACTTAGAGGCCTCAAGCCTCATCCTGTCTTTGGCTGGACCTGTACCTTATAATTGGGCTTCCCAAGTGGCTCAGTGGTAAAAGAATCTGCCTGCCAGTGCAGGAGACCGTGGAGATACAGGGTGGATCCCTGGGTCGGGAAGAGCCCCTGGAATAGAAAATGGCAACCCACTCCACTATTCTTGCCTGGAAAATCCCATGGACAGAGGAGCCTGGTGGACTACAGTGCATGTGCTCACAGAGTTGGACACAGCTGAGAACCAGCACTATGTGATAGAAATGCAGGCCACCACATGGGCAGTAAAGCCAATAGTTAGCATCTTGTACCCCCTTTCGTTGAAACTGACACTGTGTTCTTTTTGTCCCCTTTCTCTGCCTCCATCTCTGAGCCCATTTTCAATCTGTATTTTTAAGGTCTCTTTTGAAATTTTAGAGGAAAGCAACTTTTTTCTGATATCACCAGTGAAACTGCAGTTACTCTACCAAGTCAGCTGCCAAGAAGATAAGGAGCCTTTCAATCACATGCAGACATCTTTCACATGCTAAAAACAGTGCAAATAAAATACAGTGGAAGAAAAGGCACTGAGGTTTTGTCCATGCCATATTTGGGAGAGAGGGAGT